GAGGGCTTTCTGCACTCAAGGATGGGGGCAGTGGACGGGGCAGTGGACAGAGCGGAGCTGGGGGGGGTCGGTCAGGCACCGGAGGCCGAGAGGGAGGGTCAGGCGGCGGGCCGCCTCCTTGGCAAGCTCCGACCTGCCCGGGGCAGAGGCGCTGCCCCACAAGTGTCCACGCAGGGGTTTCAAGGCTGGAGCGCGCAGCCTGGGGTTCGGCTCCCGAGCCGCTCACGACGCGGTGGGGCCAGGCAGCACGAGGGCGGAGGCGTCCTGCCCTGACTGATGTCGGTAGCTCGCTGCACTGCGAGGAGCGACGGCGGGTGGTCACAGCGCCAGGCGCCCGCCGCGGAGCGAAACGGAGAGGGTCACGCGGAGGTGGCGGCACAGGGCGGCCCCGGAGAGGCTGGGTTCTCTGGAACTTGAAGGACGGTGCGGCGAGAGGTGACGCCACAAGCCCCTGAGCCCCTAAAGCACCCGCCTGTCGGGCTGCAGGTGAGGGGTGGCGGGGAGCTGTAATGCGGCCGCCGGACAGTCGCCTTCACCCCAACAGTGGCGCGACGGGCACGACTCCGCAGCTGCCTTGTCCCGGTCAGACCGTGCGAGGGCACCTCGTCCCTCCTCACTTGCCTCCCCTTTGACGCTGCAGACGGCCCGGCTTCGTGCGCGGACACTCAACAGCCTGCACGGGCTCGAGCGGCTGGGGCCGCGGCCGCGAGGCGCCCCCACTGCAGGCAGGGGCAGCTGTCGTCTCCTCCCGCCGGCCGCGCCCTGTCCCGCCTGGGAGATGCAGGCGGCCCCTCCCATGGCCTGGGACCCTCGGGCTCCCGCACACCACGCCCGGCAGGCAGAGCGGGGGCGCCGCTGTGGAGGTGAGGACAGGCCCTGGGGACGGAGCTGGGCCCCTAGGGCCGTCACCTTGAACCTGCATCCTGAGGGGAGCCTGGGCCCGCTGGCCTGTCCAGCTGGACGGAGCCTGACTGGGATCAGGAGAGCCCGCCTCTGCCCTGGGGGACGGCTGTCGCTGCAGCACCACGTGCGGGGGCCTCGCTTCCCTTGTGGCAGTCGCCACCCTAGCGTGGGGGCAACCGAGGCCCTGACCACTGTCAGGGGGAGCCCTTGGGGCACCACCGCGGCAGTCCTGTGGGCTTTCGGGGAGCCTCACCCCCGAGGGCAGCCAAGGCGCTTGTTAGGGGTCCTCCCCCCGTCGGGAGCTGCCCGCCCATGTCGCCCTGGCAGGCCGTGTACAGCGCTCTTTGGGACCAGGTGGTGGCTCTGAAAAGAGCCTTTGGGGTCAGGCGTGCGCGTGCCGCGCCTTTAGGCGCGCTCCCCGCGGATGCGGCGCGCCAGCTGGATGTCCTTGGGCATGATGGTGACGCGCTTGGCGTGGATGGCGCACAGGTTGGTGTCCTCGAACAGCCCCACCAGGTACGACTCGCACGCCTCCTGCAGCGCCATCACGGCCGAGCTCTGGAAGCGCAGGTCGGTCTTAAAGTCCTGCGCGATCTCGCGCACCAGCCGCTGGAACGGCAGCTTGCGGATCAGCAGCTCGGTGGACTTCTGGTAGCGCCGGATCTCGCGCAG